AATGATAAAAAATCTCTTCATTCTTGCTTATTAGTTTCTCGAGATTGGTGTAAAGAAACGGTAGATTTATTATGGAGACAACCATTTCATTTCTTATACACTTGCAATAAAATAAACCCTTCAGTTTTTTCACAACTTACAAATTCTAAACAATGTCACTGTTCAAATGAGAAACGTCAATATCAAGCTACTAATTTATTGATGACCTATCTATTAATTAAACATGATAAAGCATTCGTTGAAAAAGGAATTATTAAAGCGAAAAGCGAAAGAATTACTTTTGATTATTTCGAATTTTTATTTGTATTGGACTTGCATGAATTATATTGTGCAATTAAAGATTGGAATCAATGGAATAAATCAAATTCAAAATCCATCAAAAAAAATACATCTGAAAGTATAATGAAATACTTTATTATGAACACACCAAAGTTAAAAATACTTTCATTTGATACAAAATTTATTTTCTATAAGATTAATAACAAAAATCCTTGTTCATTTCTTATTAAAGTAGATAAATATGATAGAGATGATTTCAATGATGATTTCAACCATTTTAGTTACTTGGATAGTTAAATTATTAATTAAGGAATCAAAAAATCCTGAAATTACTCAATTTTTTGCCAATTTAACTGAACTTGTACTCACTATAAGAGAAAGGAAATATGAAATATTCTCTTCCCTTTCACAAATTTGTTATAATATTCAAAAATTAATCATTAGAATTAATTATTATCCTCCCTACACTTTTTGTGGAGCAACAGAGGTGGAAATATCATGTGAATCTTATTATCTTGCTTCTCTAATAAGATCTCAACATAATTTAGTTCATTTTGAAGTATTCGATATTCCAGAAATGGGTAGTATAAATGAAATTTTAAAATCTTTAAAAGAATCTCAACATAATTCATTAAAAACTCTGATTCTTAATAATGCACGGATAAATTATAATGGTATAGTACTATTTTATTTTACATGAAACATTTACAAAATTTGCAAGAATTAAGGTTTAATAAATGTATTTGTAATAGAATTGTATTTTTTAATAATAAGAAAAATAAGAACGATATATTTGATGATGAAAAAAATTATGAGGAAGGTTTAATCTTAAATATCTTCAAGTAGATTACATTGATGAAAATGGAGAAGAATTAAATGAATTATCATTAATTATATCTTCAATTTTAATTAGATGTTCTCCTTTAATAAATAGTAATATTTAGCAATTTTACACCAATGATGTACTATTATATTAGTATTATACATATTTAGTATTTTATAATTATTTTTTTTATTAGTAATTATATCACAAGTAAATATTTTAAATGAATGTTATGCAATAAATTAAAATTCATAATTTTTAGTGGATTTATTTCTGCTTTAGGTAAATTAAACTTTATATAGTAAGAGCTCATTATCTATATTAAGATTTGTAAAAATTGTATTAAGGTATATATTCAGAAGCATAACTTTAGCTCAAACTACCATCTATAATACGCAATAATGACATCAGTTTCAAGTGAACATCCGTTTGTTTAATAATGTGATGGGTAATCAAATAATTACTAGTTAATGAACTTTATTATTCAGAGACAAATTACACAGACCAGACTGAGGTATGTAAAGTGATAATTTTGCTGTCACATTTTCGGGTTTAAGGTTGAATCGGAAACTTTTAAATCAATAAAAAGCTATAGAAATATTAAAAGGTAGCAAATACCATTATGTTTATTTTTTTTGCATTAATAATCAGAAAATTTTCACCTATTTACACATCATTCAATTGCAATAACATCTATAAAATCATAACTTGCAAATTTAGTAAAATATTTTAAACCAGTTGAATCTATTGATACTGGTGAATATAAGTCAGCATACCATTAACCTTATACACAAGGTAATATTCTATATTACCATAAAAAGGTTTTTTCAAATACAGCAGGTGTGATTATCTGAATATATGTCAACTTTTAAATAATCAAATAATTAAATATTAATTATTATTTATAACAAAATTTTGAGTAATTACTGCTGAGTAGTTAACATGTGCCCAAGTTTCATTTTGTTGTGTCCAATTTGATCCTATATGGTAACCATTCATTGTAAGCAATCGACTAAATTTTAGACTTTGTAAATCAAATGACTAGATAATTATAAATTAGTTAGTTTAATAATAAATACTATTAATTGCTTATCTATGCTGTACATACTTGTAACTGTCTTGCTCTTACTAGTATGTTAAATAATGTTCTTTAATTTTTTTAATTTCACTCTGTTTAAGTGTGTATTGCTACATAGGTGAGTATCAGTTGATAATATGTATAATATGTTGTAAAGTTTTCTTTTTCGAATTACAATAAGATTTCTCACCTTTTCCTCATTTAACATTTCCTCAAATATCATCGCTTGCAAATACTAATCCATGGTATGCTTTAATAGTTTTCTCTGGAAGTAATTTTTGATAAGCTAATAGAATCACAAATGATTAAAAGTTCTATAATATAAACATTATTTGCAATATTTTTGTATGGGCGTAATTTTAATCTAGCTAATGGTAAAAATATATCATAAACAAGTTCAATTGGAAACTGCCAAGTAATACAGCATGGCCCATTTCTTTTAATACTTGCAACTACATGAAGTATATAATGTATACACATTTTCATAGCACTAAGACGGTTAACAGAAAATTAGTAGTATTCACTATAATTAATTATTAATATTTGTTAATATTATAATAATAAAATAATATATATTTCAGAATATTTACCGTTCATAATGAACATAAAATTTTATAATAATGTATTAATATTATTTAATTCATTAATTGCAAATTACTTTTTCTGGCATAACTGTACAGCCTGCACGAAGAAACTCCATTCTTTATAATATTTTGTTGGCAAATAACCTTTAAGTAGTGGTAATGAATACATCTGATCCATTATCTTTCCAATATTCGTCCAAACTTGTTTTAAAAGTAAATATGGTTCATTATTTAATGTTTGGTTTGCATAAAAAGTACCATCCAATGATCAAGCATAATATCTACAGAAAACGGGTTGTAGACAAGTTAAATAGAATGCTACGCTTTATAATACCTAAACTAAATTATTATGTTAGCTTAAAAAGTATATTTAATAATTGAAAGCCTTGATCGATTAGGTATTAAATGCAAATATGTATTATTTTCAAAATCATTTGGTGGAGTGGTAGAATAATAAATATGGGTTGATCAAACTCCTCTTATATTACAATATCGACATCCTTGATAATTAGGCGACACAAAGTGGTAAAAATGGTTTTCATAGTCTGGCCGGGTCAGTTTTTGTTAAATCTCAAAAAAAATTTTTTATATTATTACTATGCCGGGTGAGAATTTTTTAAAAATTGAAAAAAAATTTCACATAAAATTTTTTTGAAAAAAAAATTAAAAGCCGGGTTGCCGGGTTATTGATGAAATTTTTATATTATGAAAACCATCCCTATAAAAATTTTTATCCGAATATTTCCATTATTTGTCAAACAGTCTTATGACTTTATATTTATTTATAATGAATATTCTCCGTGGCATTCGTAAAACACGGAAAAAACATGGAAATATAAACAAGGACCAATTTGTTGATCCCGAAGTATCACCCAACCGATTGATTACAGCTGCACGCAATGTCACGCCGCGTGTATGGCAAACGAAATTGTGTAACACGTTTAATATTTAATTGATGATCATGGTGATACATTAAAATTTTCCTTTATTTAACCGGATTTCGTTTCTTTATCAACCATAATAAATAATGCCGCTTTTAAATTTTTTGAAAAAAAACAAACGAAAATGTGTTAGAAATTCTAGAACCTTTCCACCAGAATTAATTCGTCTGATTGTTCTTAATTTAAAGAATGATAAAAAATCTCTTCATTCTTGCTTATTAGTTTCTCGAGATTGGTGTAAAGAAACGGTAGATTTATTATGGAGACAACCATTTCATTTCTTATACACTTGCAATAAAACAAACCCTTCAGGTTTTTCACGATTTAAAAATTCTAAAAAATGTCACTGTTCAAATGAGAAACGTCAATATCAAGTTACTAATTTATTGATGACCTATTTATCAATTAAACATGATAAGGAATTCGTTGAAAAAGGAATTATTAAAGCGAAAAGTGAAAGAATTACATTTAATTATTTCGAATTTTTATTTGTATTGGAGTTACATGAATTATATTGTGCAATTAAAGATTGGAATAAATGGAATAAATCCAATTCAAAATTCAGAAAAGACAATTATTCACTAACATTTGAAAGTATAATGAGATACTTTATTACGAATACACCAAAGTTAAAAATACTTTCATTTGATACAAAATTTAAGACTAATAAGAAAATCGATAATGATCACAATTATTTTAGTAACCGGGATAATTACATTCTTGATTCATTAATTAAGGAATCAAAAATTCCTGAGATTATTCATTTTTTTGACAATTTAACTGAACTCGTACTTGCTATAAGTGGATGTGGAATATTCTCTTCTTTTTCACAAATTTGTCGTAATATTCAAAAATTAATCATTAGAATTGATTCCCCTTTCTATGGAGTAGTACGGGTAGAATCTTATCAACTTGCTTCTCTAATTAGATCTCAACATAATTTAGTTCATTTTGAATTATTTGGTACTCCAGAAATGGGTATAAATAAAACTTTAGAGTCTTTAAAAGAATCTCAACATAATTCATTAAAAACTTTGATTCTTAATAATTCACGGATAGATTATAATGCCACTATTTTATCTTATCTAAAATATTTACAAAATTTGCAAGAATTAAGGTTTAATAACTGTATATGTAAAAGAAATATATATTTTAGTATTAAGAAATATAAAAATGATATATTTGATGATAGAAAAAATTATGAGGAAGGTTTATGGTTACCTAATCTTAAATATCTTCAAGTAGATTATATTGATGAAAAAGAAGAAGAATTCAATGAATTATCATTCATTATATCTTCAATTTTAATTAGATGTTCTCCTTTAATATTTAATAGTAATATTTAAAACCATGACGTTACATATTATATATATTTATAATTATTGTTTTTCATTATTTTATATGTATAAATAAATATTTTAAAAATGAGTTTTATGCAATAAATTACAAACATTCATAATTTTTAGTGGGTTTATTTCTGGCTTTAAGTTATATATTCTTGATTATAAACTTATTAAGAATTTTAAGTTAATTGCTGATCCATCACTCAACGATACGTCTATGCTTGGCAAAATACTATCTTAATATTCTGAAAATAAACACTTTGTATATGTTAGGATACTCATTTAAGGAGTGTCGCATTAATTATACAAGTTTTAAAAATTGATCCCATCGAGTTATTTAGCATTGTTTAATTTGCGAAATAGTTTTTTTTTTTTGAAAATCTAATAATATATGTTTGAGAGTGTATATCAGTTAATTTTGAGACTTCTAGCTAACATTTTTATTAAAAAAAATCTTGACGGGATTTTGCTAAAAATTTGGCTAATTGGCAATGTTTAAAAATTACTTGTGAAGTTTTTTCCTTATAACATCACATTAAATATTTTGGATAAAAAAGCCTCAATCTCAAAGTTTTTTCAGTAAAAATTTTGAGTGATTTGGTAGAAACTGACGAACTTTTACTATTTAGGAAAGTAGCATTCCAGTTTTGTCTCCTATAATACGCAATAATAGACATCCACTGGTATGGTTTCCACTATGGAAACCTTGATGTACGCGATGAAACTTGTCCAATTTGTATAACATTTCCACAAAAACTGGAAACCTCATTGAAATTGGACGGTTTCCACCAAATTTTAATAGTATAAACTTCACGTGATCTGAACAACATAACTCTACCTGATAAAAAATTTTTTTTATTAGGAAGACGGTATACAAAGTGATAAATTTGCTCTCTATTTAAAAAGAAAATATTGTGGTGTAAAATAATAATACCGATAACCGTTGCGTTTCCAGGTTTAAGATTGAATCAGCGACTTTTTAAATCAATAAAAGCTATAAAAAATATTAAAAGGTAAGCAAATACCGTTGTGTTTATTTTTTTGTATTAATAGTCAGAAAATTTTCACCAATAAAGTTTTACATAAAAGATGTATGAGGTTTTTTTCGTTAACGGTATACTGTATTTAACTAGTAAACAAGAATTTTTTATACGTTAAAACTTAAAATCAGGACTGTACTGAAGGTCTATATCAAAAATTCGTATATAAATAATCTATATTGTACTACCTGTCGGAGTTTGTACAAAAAGAGCTGAAAAAGTGACAATCTCATATGATCTGTGCAAGTCGTTGTGATCTGTTCTGTATATTCGAATTCGCTTCAGTAATGATGATGCTCAAGAAAAAAGATGCTGAATATTCTAAAACACTTCCACCAGAATTAATTCGTCCGATTGTTCTTTATTTAAAAAATGATAAAAAATCTCTTCATTCTTGCTTATTAGTTTCTCGAGATTGGTGTAAAGAAACGGTAGATTTATTATGGAAACAACCATTTCATTTTTTATACACTTGCAATAAAATAAACTCTTCAGTTTTAGCACAATTTACAAACCCTAAATTAAACAACCAATGTCATTGTTCAAATGAGAAACGACAATATCAAGCTACTAATTTATTAATGACTTATTTATCAATTAAACATGGAATTATTACGTTCGATTATTTCGAATTTTTACGTGTATTGGATTTGCATGAATTATATTGTGCAATTAAAGATTGGAATCAATGGAATAAATTCAACAAGGATAACTCTTCCCCTCTAACATTTAAAAGTATAATTAGACATTTTTTTACGAATACACCAAATTTAAAAATCCTTTCATTAGATACAAAATTTATTTCATATAAGATTAATAACAAAAATCCTTGCTCATTTCTCGTTAAATTAGATAAATATGATAAAGACGATGACGATAATGACTATTATTTTAGTTACTGTGATCATTACATTCTTGAATTATTAATTAAGGAAACGAAATTTCCTGATACTATCCAATTTTTTATCAATTTAACTGAACTCGTACTCATTATAAAAGAAAGTAAATATAAAATATTTTCTTCCCTTTCACAAATTTGCCATAATATTCAAAAATTAATCGTTAAAATCAATTTTCCTACTTATGTTTCCTGTGGATTTGGAATGATGCAAGGAATAATAAGTGAAGTTAATCACCTTGCTTCTTTAATTAGATCTCAACATAATTTAGTTCATTTTGAGTTATTTGATATTCCAGAAACGGGTATAAATAAAATTTTAGAATCTTTAAAAGAATCTCAACATAATTCATTAAAAACTTTGATTCTTAATAATGCGTTGATTAGTTATAATAATAGCACTATTTTATTTTACTTAAAATATTTACAAAATTTGCAAGAATTAAAGTTTAATAAGTGTATTTGTAATAGAAATATATTTTATAATAATAAGTATAATAAGATTGATATATTTGATGAAGAAAAAAATTATGAGGAAGGTTTATGGTTACCTAATCTTAAATATCTTCAAGTAGATTATATTGATGAAAATGAAGTAGAATTCAAAGATTTATCTTTCTTTCTATCTTCCATTTTAATTAGATGTTCTCCTTTAATAAACAGTTAACAGTTAATAAATTTACTTAACATAGTTATGTAATTACAGTATAAATAAAAATTTTATTTATTTATTAGCGAAAGTCATGTGACAATGACGCGAAAAATTTTCTAATTATTATTTCATGATTTCTACACTATAACGAGCATCACTTTGATATGCAATTATTAATTCTAATTCCATGGATTCTTGCCTGAAAAAGCAAGTCACAAGCAATTCAAACAGGTACACATAACCCAAATACTGTTGACGAAGGAACTGCTACTCGAGAAACATCATTCCCAGACACGACAATGGATAGAGCGAAATTCTACTCAAATAGATGGTACACATACCCAAATACTGTTGACGAAGGAACTGCTACTCGAGAAACATCATTCCCAGACACGACAATGGATAGCGCGAAATTCTACTCAAACAGATGGTACACATAACCCAAATACTGTTAACGATTCATTAATCCAATAAGTGTAAAAATTTCAGATTTTTTGTCTCTTCCAGTTTCTTCTAATTTTTCTTAAAGAACATCAAATTTATCAGAATTAAATCTAGTTAAATTCTTTTATATTTACTATTGTTATTTTTGTCTGGACTGTTATCTGTCTCATTCTATTATCGCGCTATTATTCTTCATATACGTTGTTCGGTTGGGAAAGACTTTGCAAGTGGTTTAAATGTTTGATCAAGAATGTTATAATGTTTCATTCTCTAATGCCGTATCTTCGACTTTTGCCCGAAAAACATCCTTTTTATTGTTGTGAGATATGGGTCTTCGTCTCCTGATAATTTTCCCTATGACAAGAGAAACAAAATAGACAAGTGCATAAATTTCTCAAGATCATTGAAACTCATTTCAATGATATGAGTTCATCGTAAGCGTAGGCTTTCTCTTCTTCCTTTTTCTCTGGTTTTGTTTGTCCTTTAAATTATGAATTTTTAAAAAATCCTTGTTGTTTTGATTCTCAATTTCAACTTTAAACTCTTCCTTTATTAAAGTGCTTAACTTTTCTAACAACGTCAATATTGGTTGGATTCATCGTGGGAGGAATAGTTGGTAGATTATCTATATGTGAGTTTGATTGCCGGTATGTCAAGAGTGGTCTTAAATCAGTGGTTCTTGCTGTTGATGAACTTATTGAACTAGATCCCGAGCTGTGTTTGCTGCTTGTAAACTTTTATTTTTAGTACACCAATAATTTTAAAATTAAAGCGTAGAACTTGAGTGATTTTGACACGAAACCCATGCATTGCATTTTTTCGCTCACAACAAGCCATTTACTAATGTGAAGTCCGGTGCATACTAAAGAATTATTTCATTGTTTCATTAGACTATTTCCATACATCCAATTGGACAACAGTGCAATATCAGCAGATATGACAGACGTCACGCCCGTATTGCGATCACAAAATCTTGCCTCCTACTTAAGCACTATCATTTATCGTCATTAAATGATACTGAATAGATTTTTATCTACTAGTGAATGATATAGAGTATATTTTTATAAGACCAATAAATCTTCCAAATGCAGCCGTGGTAACCTTTATTGGAACTGATTCTGACCTCATCATGGCTTCGTGTTCTTTGTAGGTATGTTGCAATAGGTAAAACGCTTCCTTAGTTCTTTTCCAAAAATAGTTAAGATTTTATGATGTATGTTGTTATATTATTCTTCAACATTGACATTAAATATAACCCTCAATTCCTCGTACAGATACTCTATGGAATCCTTATTTTAAAAATTCAAGTCTCGGCATTTTTAATACGACAGAGTCTCCTTTAACCTGATTTAGATTTTTTTTTTTGCCGAAAGAAATGACAGAAGCTTCATTATCCCGATTTTTCTGCTAGCTAGAATCAGGTTAAAATATTCTACTTTCATTTACGTTCATCTATTTCTTCCCGTAGACCAAAATCGTTTCAGTTGAAGTTGTTTTTCCATCCTCCCAATTATCAATGAAGTGCTTGACTGAAAATCTTTTCCAGTGTTGGCTTCAGTGGAGTTGGCACTATCGATGATCTCTGTTCTTAATACAATCAGGAAATGGACATGTATCAACCGTGGTAAGTCACGAAAATGTCCCATAATAATATTGTGAACGCCTTAAGAGGATATTAAAAAATTTCAGTAGTGTACTCCGAGCGTGACCTTAGTTTAGTCGAAGTTACCGCCAAATGTACCACTCTATTACGCTTTCTCTACCTTCGCATTGGGCCATGTTCTGAGCAAATCCCATTGTAACTTTCCCTTTGAGAGCTTTTATTGCATAATTAATACATCCAGTGTTTCATCACCAACAACTTCAAGCTGAAAAGCTATTTCAAATTATAATTTCTTTGCCAAAATATGTTTCATTCTACCCGCAAGTACGCCTTTTATTTTTTATTCTAATGAAAATAATGGACAAATAACGTAAAAAGATCACAATGTGAGACGAGATAGGTATGAAGACTTCACTATGCGTAATTACAGAGCTCTTCTTACCGTTAGTTTTTTTCAAATTCCGCCGGCCACCAAACAAATAGAATTTTTACATTCTTTCATAGTGTCCACTGTGGCTACATTGTATAATATTACACTGAACATATAAAAGAATAATACTAACTACTAACGGTGCTTGTATCCTAATGCTAACGATAATTCTGACTTTTTATAAAATCCTTTCTTGCCAAGATCTGCTTCGACCAATTGCTTTTTTAGCCGGCCCTTCTGGTTTAGGACGTGTGAAAAATTTGGTGGGCTTTCCTTCTCTGTTCTGCATCAACACTGTTACAAAGAATTTTTTAAATTTTCACGGTTTGATTCCGCCACAACCGCGTTTGTATCCTAATAGTAATACTAAATGTCGAAGGCACGTGATGTCGATCGATCATCGCAAAATTTTTCGTGAAGAAAATTAAATACTCTACCTCAACTGAGTATAGGAATACCTTTGCTTTATTTAATTATGGATTGATGTTAATGGATCTTTATCGGAAATCGGAACCTAAATTATATCCTATAAGATACATAACACTTTCTAAATGTTATGGCAGAAATACATAATTAATATCATACTGACTGATTCACGTAAAACGATTTAGGACCGACGAAAATCAGGTCCTAAAAAGTCCTATCCAATAGAATTTCAGAAATGATGAGATTTATATTAAATCATTCAACATCTCACAGCTCAGATGACGCGTTTGTTATTTGGGTATTTTTTTTTCTCGCAAAAAATACTATATAAATCGAAAATGTCCAGGTTACTCAGTCTCGTCAAAGGAAATACGACCGCAAACGCTTTCCCTATTCGCATAGATAAAAATAGTCTTGTCGGCGACCTCAGCTATTAAAGCAGAAAAACAGAATGACTTTGCTGGTGTGGATGCAGACAGGTTCAAGTTATGGAAGGTGGAAATTCCTGGCGATCATATCGATCCTTTGAGTAATCTCTCGCTCGAGAGCTGTTGGCAATAATTGATATTGGAGACTACTGGCTTGAGAAACCGCCTAGGAAGAATATTCATGTAATAGTCGAACCACCCGTGTCGACTTCCACTTATTGGAAATAAGGGAGAAACTTGGTTCGTTGCAGGCATTACTCAACAAGTCCGTTCATGGTATGTATAAAGTTTTGCCAAGAAATTTGGCCGACGAGCCGTCGGTGAAATAATCAGATTATGAAACCGTTTCCTCGGGAAACGATATTTCACGTCAAATTACTTACTGTCTTAGCTTGGTTGTTGTATTACAGCGTTTGACGTTATCGTGAGTCCGAAACGAAACAAAGGGTTTCAAGTGGACCGTAAATATTGATGATGCGACTCAAAGAGTATATACGTGAAATGGATAAACCACCAGCACTTGAATGATGGAGCGGTACTAAACTTCATAAGCAGAGAGATATTCACCTCGGAACGATCAAGACCTCTGCAAAATGCTCCGGCTATTCGTATCAAATAACAGCTTCAAGTTTACTGTACTCATTGAGACTCCCTCAAAAACCTTTCTTCCCGAAAGTGAGCGAACTCTACGGTCTTAGCGATGACCCGAATCCTAGTACTGACATGTACCCCGTTTTTCACTGTGGTTACGTCGACCTCAAAGATGAGAAGTCTCAATCAATGGTTAAGCATCTAATGGCCGAACTAGAACTTTGTCAAAAAACTACATCCCTTGATGTTGCGTATGAGGCAACGAAGACCATCTATTCTTACTGTTATCTGGCCAGCAGGGTATCGTTCTACGAAAAAAATTTCAAAATCATACCGGAGAAACTCATCACAGGTCACAACGGGCAAGGAAATCTCGATTATGCAATAGAATGTCGTTCATCGTTGGTTTAGTCGAAGTTAAAAAGGATGACTTTAGCACAGGCCACGGTGCAGATGTCGTGCCGTAAACGCAAAGTGAATGAAATAGACGATACCTACGGTTTGGACAAAGTATAGGGGATTGTAACAGATGCGGAAAAATGGTAGTTTATGGAGTGCAGGTTAGACAATGAAGGGAAACCATCGTTTAAGTTGTCAGAACCAGCGATCGTCATATATACAAAGATGAGAATTTGCAACTAAGGTGGAAAAAGTCCTCGGACATATTGTATGTCTGCTGGAGGAGGCGCAGGAGCCGGAATACGATTCACAAAGTGGTGGGTAATAAAAAAGATAGGTCATCGGGCAATCTTACGGAAAAATTAGATACAGTAGATAGGTCGTCATGTATCATGGGCAAAGTCCCGAGCCTTTGTATTTATTTTACTTCGTACTGTATAATGGGAATCATTGTATTTATTTTTTATCTGTATTAATAAATTCATCACGTGCAATAAAACAGTTAATGCTACGAAATCATATACAAGAAACACGCACACACGTTTAAAAAATGTATAGCATCTTTATTATAATTCAAGACGATGCCACCAGGAGGGTCAAGTCCAATATTTTGCTGCTTATATTTCACTACATAAAACATTACTTGTTAACTATTACGTATACTGTATAATCATTATTTATATTATGTAAAGATGTGATAATTATATACTTAAGCCATGATCAAAAAATTATCGTACTGTGAAGCGCTCACAAAAGATTTGAACAAAATGGAGGCTAACAAAATGAAGAGCAAGTGGAAAAGTGGAAAGAGCGAGAAATAGGGTTACAAGAAAAAGAGTTAGAGAAAGAACTGTATAGTAAAGTATGTGAAAGTAGATGTTTTTAAGATGACTATAGCCAACGAAATAAAGGAATACTGTTATACTAAGATTAAGTATAGAATTGATAAACTTTAGATAAAATTGATGGTCAAATAAAACATTATCACTATGTTAAATCTTTCTTAGAATTTGCTTCAATCAATGTTGAAGTAGATAAGGAGGGGATTATACGAAATTTGCAGAACTTGTTACAAGTATTATAAGATGATTAAAGGAGATTCTAGCGTCCCCCAAAATTCTTAGGGCATATCAAGAAAATGGGGGATTTATGTGGCTGTGAAAGATATAACAGAAGGTGCAGCTAACCCAAAATTCAATCCCGTATTATCTAACTTGAATTGTGTACCAGCCCACATTTTCGTGGAAAAATATTCAGAAGATTTACTGATGATGGCGAGTAAATGTTTCAGGAATAAGATAAGACTAAAGATGATAATTATCGGGTATATCAAATGATTTATTATTAATAATCAATAATTCTGAAACTAGACAATATTGTGATGTATTTATTAATAATAATAATACTATTCTATTTAAAATATTTAAGAACTGAGGTATTTATCGGGAAGATTTATGGTTACCTAATCTTAATTCTTCGGAAACTTCTTTATGTTCTTCAGTTTAATTTAATTATCTTTCATTTTACTTGGATGGTCTCCTTTAGTAAATAAAATTTATTGATAATAAATTATTTAGGCTTCCTCGCACAGCATTATTAAATATCTACATACAATAATGTGGTTTTTTATAATTTAGACTGGTTTAAAGTATTATATTTATTAAGTTAATTATAAAGCTACTAATTCGTAAGAGATAATCTATACCAATAATTCGACATCCTAAGAGTTATTTTCAATAATTTGTTATTATGTAAATATGAACAAATAAAAAAAAAATGATCACATTTCTAATCAAGATAAGGCAAAGAAAATCATAATAAACGTTAATGTTTGCGCCATGTTATTGTCACTATTGTACGTTGTTATACACTGGAGTATAATTTCCGATTGGGATTATATATATATAATATATAAATATCATTTTCCATATTTTCAACATAATAAGATAAACTTGATTATGTCTAAACCACTTCCACTAGAAATTATTCATCCAATCGTTCTTTATTTAAAGGATGATAAAAAATCTCTTCATTCTTGTTTATTAGTTTCTCGTGATTGGTGTAGAGGAACGGTAAATATATTATGGGAACAACCATTTCACTTTTTATACACTTGTAATAACAATAAGAAAAACATTATAACTTCTTCAACTTCTTTATCTAATCTTTCTAATCTTTATAATACAAATTATAATTCAATGAATAATAATAAATGTCAATGTTCAGAAAAGAAACGACAACTTCAAGCTACTAATTTATTGATAACTTATTTATCAATTAAATATAATAATGAATTAATTGAAAAAAATATTATTACAAATATTATGACAAAAGGAGAAAATATGATGTTTAATTATTTTGAATTTTTAAAATCATTAGATTTATTAGAATTATATTCTGCCATTCAAGATTGGATTCAATGGATGAATATTAATAAATCAATGAATTCATCAATTTTAAATTCAAAAATTAATATGATTTTTAATAAAGAATATCCATCATTAAAATATAATATATTTGAATATTTTTTCACTTATTCATTAAAATTAAAATTACTTTCTTTTGATGAAGAATTTATTTTACGTAAGTTTGATAATAATAATAATTATAATAATTATCCTTGTTCATCTCTTATTAAAGAAAAATTACGTGATAATAGTTGGCATATTTATTTAATTTTAAATAATTTATTAGAATTAAAAAATCCTGAAATTAAACAAATTTTTATTAATTTATCTGAACTTGTTTTTACTACAAAAAGTAAAAAAATTCAATCATTATTTTTAATTTCAAAAAATTGTCATAATATTCAAAAATTAATTATTAGAATCAATTGTGATTTTCGAAATTTATATGATGAAACGAATCAACTTATTTCTTTAATTGAATCTCAACAAAATTTAATTTATTTTGAATTAATTGAGAATCGTACTTATACAAATGAAATTTTAAAATCTTTAAAAGAATTTCAATATAATTCATTAAAAACTTTGATTCTTAAAGATGTATTTATTAGTAAAGATGATATTATTTTATTTAATTTGAAAATTTTACAAGAATTAAGATTTAATAGATGTGTTTATTCAAATAATAATCGATTTAATGATGAAAAGAAAAATGATTGGGTAGATTTATGGTTACCGAATCTTAAACATCTTGAAGTGGATTTTTTAGATAAGTATAAAGAAGAATCCAATGAATTATATTCTATTTTACTTAGAAGTTCTCCTTTAATTAGCAACATTTAGTGTGATAGTCAGTAACCTAATATGAAATTCATGTTCATTGATTGTAATTTCCAAAAGTCATACGTAATAATGTAAATCAAGATAATATCGATCGAAAGAATAAATAAAATCAACGATTATTAAAATAACAATCACTTACTATAATTAATAATAAAGTTATGTAGTTATGTCGAATTTTTTTGCCACATGATTTGGGAATCTGCACGGATCAGCACTTTTACAAGGATTGGTATAAATTTATGATGATATAGTGCAATAAACATTTCTTATATTGTATATATATATTAAGACGTATATTACTCAATAAAGAAGATAAATATGAGCACGCTGTTTAATGGGTTATTTCTTATTTGCTCGTTATTTGCCGTTATCAACAGAGTAAATCACGAAAATCAAGATCAAATAATAATATATCTCGGAATACAAAATTCTATATTTAAATTATAAGGAATTCTTAAATTAATAATTTTATTATAAACAAATAATATAAAGCATCATGCATATCAAATCGCGATTTATCCAATTCTCAATGTTTATTAGCGTGAATTACGTAATATCGACGTTAATTTTAGAAAATTTTTCTGAAACTTTATTTTCACTTTCCAAAATTCGAGGAATAAAAAAGGGTTCCTGTAAATATAAATGGTTTAACACAAGTGATTTACAGTAACACAGCCTAATAATGACGAAGGTGGTTGCATTTACCATTTTTGATCGACATTTAATCCCCTGAAACGGCAATAACCTTAATTAAATTCTTACTAAACAATAAACATGATATAATCGAGCATCTATCAGATTACATGAATCTGCAAAGAATACATAGAAGAGAGATAAAACCAATAGAATCTTTACTTTTTAAACCGGAAGAATCGGAGTTATATATGATGCGAAACTTCTTTAAACAAAGTTTAATCAAGTCTCAACCAATTTAGTCTTTTAAAATGATTAAAGATATATTAAATGAATTTTATTATACAAAAAAAGTTTTTTATTATCTATCTATTCTAAGAACTTTTTTTAATGCAGTATGCGTAGAAACGCGGAGTTCTACACTTCTACTGCATGAATTGATAAAATTATTATTTCGAATAATAGATTTTTTAATAATTATCTTCGAATGAAATCCTTTATTAAACAAAGTAATTGACAACAAACAAAACAAAAACTTAAAATTACAAATTCTTTTTTACACAAATTTATTTTCATACAATTATGAAACTTGTTTCGATATTTAACTTATAATATTTTTAAAAAAGTTTATTTTAAAATAAAGTTAAAGAGTTGGTTGGTTTATTAACTTTCCAAAGATTTGAACTTTGATTCGTATTTTTTTTAGGGATTAACAAATTAATTTTTAAATTTATTTTATTTTAGAGACCATATAAAGATTTATGATCAACGCGCGCGCTCACGTGACAGTCGTAAAATCATCCTAACATCGTACAATTGTATTTGAATAAAGGTCTAGAACGTCATTTTATTTTTTATATAATAAATATTTGTATATTTGTATATTTGTATATGTGTAGCATTTGTAGTATTTGTAACATCAAATGTTACTATGACGTTAATCAAAAAAAAAAATTATACTTTTTTATCCATTTAATGAATTTATTACATAAGACTTCATCACGCAATGATTTATAAAAATTTATTTCAATTTATTAACAATTTTTTTTATATATAATAAATATATAATAAATGTTTTACACAAACATAAATAAGTATATATATAAATAATTAAATCGTGCATCATCCTAACACACGATCCAAATTAAACGCAGCTATATTGTAAAAAAAAAAAAAAGTGTTAATATTATTACATCAAAATCATAATAGTAATATATAATTATATTTTTTCCATATATGCTTACCGCTGATGAAAGCAAGATGAGTAAAGGCTTGAGGAAAATTACCAAGTAATTCACCAGAACTAGCAATTTCTTCAGAGTATAAACCTAAATGATTACCATAACTAATCATTTGTTCAAATATAAATTCTGCTTTTCCTAATAATTTTTTATCATATTTTCCTGCTCTTGTTAATGCTTCGACCAACCAAAATGTACACATTGAAAATGATCCTTCCACTCCACCATCAAATCCTAAATGATGATGATAAAAATGAATTGCGTAAAATATAAAAACTTTTCTTAAATTATCAATAAAAATGTTAACATACCGTCGTCAGTCGTTTCATAATTATATCGGAATGCAAGATTATTAGCCAATAATCCTCCTAAAATAAAATACTTTAATATCAACTTAAAAAGTAAATTAAACTTTTATGTATGTATTACCTTTTTCAGGTGGCAACAAAATTTGTCTCACAGTACTTAAAAATCTTGGATCATTGGGGCTTATGAAAAATACCAAAGGCATAATTAAAACGGAACTATCCAAAGCATCCAAAGCTTCATAAGATTGAGCAAAAAATTTTTGTTCAGGATTCCAAGCTTTAGTCATGACTTCTTCATAAATATTGTCACGGACTTTCATCCATCTATCTCTATCAGGACATGGTAAAACTCTTTTCTCTGATAATCTTATACCTTTATTCAAATTTAAAAAGTAAAAGTTTAATCAAAATAAATAAATATATGAATAAATAAAATAATTAAGCTTACCTCTATCAACAGCAACCCAACACATGATTTTCGAATAAGTAAAGTTTTGTTTTTTGCCTCTAACTTCCCAAATACTCATATCTTCTTTTTCCCAATTATCACATACATAATTAACTAACTTACGTATACTTTGCCACATATCATAAGAAAGGGGACTACCATATTTATTATATAAATACACCGCGTCTAATAATTCTCCGTAAATATCTAATTGAAGATGATCATATGCTCCATTTCCAATACGAACCGGTTTTGAACTACGATAACCATCTAAATGGGTCAATTCTACCTCAGTTAATTTCTTTTCTCCGTCTATACTATACATTATATTTAATGATCCATCAGGATTCTAGAGTACATAAATAATAAAATATATATTTATATTAAACTTACATGGTGCAAATTAAAATCAAAAACATACCAGATCTTGACATCTTTCTTCCATATATTTCATATAACGTTCGGTTTCTTGAATCATACCAAGTCTCATGAGAGCATAAACAGTAAATGCGGAATCTCTAATCCAAGTGTATCGATAATCCCAATTTCTAGGTCCACCAATTTCTAAAAAAAACAATAATAAAATAAATAATAAAAAAAAAAAATATTAATAAATCAATATCATATAAACACGTTTTTAATAAATAAATAAATAAATAAAAGTGATACCGGAAATTTTACCTTCAGGAAGACCAAAAGTAGGCGAAGCAACAACAGCACCAGTCTACATAATTATAAAAACTTTAAATACATATTATGTTTTGAAAGAATTTTTTATAATTTATTTAATTACCGGCTCATAAGTTAATAATTTCAAAGTTAGAGCACTACGATGAACATTTTCTCTCCATCTTCCTTTGTAACAAGATTGAGAAATCCACTTTTGCCAATAAGCTAAAGTTTGCTTGTATAAACTTTTCATGAGAATGGAATTTAATGGAGGATCCATGAGAAGTTGATTTTCAATTCCAACAGAAGGTAATTCTCTTAAAATAAAAGTAATTTCTTGAGATTCTTTTAATTGAAATTTAGAGACTATACCAGGACCTTTCATTTCATTTTTTTTAATTAATTTAAAATCAATAATTGGAGGATCTTGATCGGCTTTTGTTACAACGTAACGAAAATCCAGATTAATTGTTTTGGAACGAAATATGAATCTTTGTTTACCAACAAATGATTTATCATCATTTGCAGTTACTTTATAATCTTCAATATCAACAGTATGATCATCTAATGCGTAATTAAATGATGGAAATAATTCAAAATGAAAATCAACTTTTCCACGTACTACTCTAACATGTCTGATCAACCATGGAAGAAGAGGTTTGATGGCAGGACCAGAATTATCAGGAAGATGCATATAATCAGTAACTTCACTAACACCCTCATCATGTAAGAATCTTGTTAATAAAATATTAGATCTCGGAAGGTATTGTTGTTTGTTACTACTATGAATTGATGGTGTAATTGAAAAATGACCTACAAAAGAAGGGAGGACAATTAGCTGCGTAAAAAACAAATGTGATTTGTATCAGCCTTCAACTTTTTAACATACCTCCCTAAAAAGAAAATAATTAAAATTTTTTTTTGAGTAAAAAAAAAAAACCTTTATTACGTTCAAATATAAAGTTTATACCTTTTCATTATCTAAAAGTCTCGCAAAGATGGAAGGACTATCGAATTTAGGATAGCAAAAGAAGTCGATCGAACCATCTGTGCCACTTAAAGCAACAGTTCTCAAATTTCCAATCATACCATAATTTTCAATAGGAAGATAACCTCTACAACATGATTAATTAAAAAATAAATTATATTTTTTTGAAAAAAAAAAAAATGTAAAAATAAAATTCTTTTTTACCTCGTACGAAGATTACAACGAGTATCTTCGGCTAACTCACCCGAAGTATCTAATTGAGAAACTCTTTTTTCACTATCAATTGTACTCATTATGTAAATAATTAAGGTAATTTAAAAGAAAAGTCCGATCGTTTAATGTCCGGAAAGGGTAAAAATTATAACATGAGGAAAAAAAACCGACAATTTATATAAAATGATAATCAAATAAATTATAAGTTTAGCGGTTAATGTATAATGAAAATCCAGCATTAGATAACCTTTTTTAGTTAAAAAAGGGGTGATGCTACGTACATTGAATAGTTTGGTACGACAGATATGGAGTAATACAAGGTAATACGAAAGTTTTATTGTTTTGTAAGCAATAACGATATTATAAATATTTTAAAAATACAAAAACTTAATAAACTTATTCTGGAAGATTCTTACTTAATATGAAAAAAATTGATTAATATGGGTTTAGTAATTTTATTATGACAATAAAATAATCTGAACAAGTTTTTTTGCTTGGAAATCATTTTTTACAAATAAATAAATTTTATTATTAAAAGAATAGATAGCAGATAGAGATACATATAAAGTCGTCTTCACATGATCAGAATAACACATATAAGTTACGGACACAGTAACTCAATAACAGATAAAATAAATAAGATGATGTCGGAAACCCGGATCAAACCCCGAAATGTGAATATCTTATAAACCGATGCATTGATACATTTAGATGCAAAGGTTATCGCTTCAACATAATAGGAGAACAATCATATGTAATGAATATAAAAAACAAGGGGATTTTCTCTATTTCCAATATTGTCCAATAATGAAATTATAAAATGCAAGGAAATTTTTTAAAAAAAGCAACAATAATTTATTGCATACTATTATATTAATATAATATAATATTACTTTAGAGAGATACAATATTTTAAAAAAAAAACTGACAAGAGTAAAATCAATATTGTAAACACTGTATGTTATAAATTGTATTAATACTGAAACAATTTAAAACTCCACTTTAACTATTTTTAATAAACTTTTTTTAAAGTTTATCATCTTAAGCATCTTAAAAGTTTGATATATAAATTATCCCCAAACATATAATCGTGAGAATTAAATGAAACAAAAACAAATCAGCATTTCTTACGTATGTTACATATAAAAATTTACAAAGGTAAAAGCTTGACCTATTATCTCTAATAAAATTCTTACAAGTTAAAAAAGTAAAAAAGTTTGTTTATTTGTAATACGAATAATCTTCATTGAGAAAATCATAATATTTTTTTTTCACAAAGTCAAATTTAAAAAGGTTTACAGTAAGATCAAAATTAACATTTAATTAAATATAATTCTGCATTATTTATTCACTTACTTTTTTTTAATAATACTTTATACTTATATTAAAGTATACTGTATACTGTATTAGTTATATAAGGCGTCCTGCATAAATTTTATATATAGTGATTTACATGCAAGAAAAATATAAACAATGTATCAATCCCATAAACAGTCAAAGTAATGCAACCAACCAACCGTGTTGTTTTCTGTATTCGGCAATTTTAACTATATGCAGTTCATTATTTTTGGACGTCCCTACTTTATTTTGCAAATAATTAGTAACTATACATGAATGCTATTATAATTATTATATTTCTTTTTTTTAAAAGGATTGTGTTAAAAAAAAAAAAATCTTATTTAAAAACCCCATCTTTTTTTCAAAAAAAAATAAAAAAATAAAAAAATAAATTTTCTCACTTTCACATTTTTTTTTAAAAAAAAATAAAAAATGGTTCACTTTAATAATGATCCACCAAGATATTCTTTTTCTTCTTTACCACCAAGATATTCACAAATATCTTTCGATGATCAAAAACTTAAAAGTTCTTTGATAACCGATATTTCTTCTGGTAATCCTGTAAATAGATTAGAAATGCAACATTATATATTTAAATATCTTTGGCAAAATAATTTTTCTACTCCTATTGCAAAACAACTTCAAGCGGGAGGAGCCAAAGTTTTAGAGGTTGGATCCGCTCCAGAAATATGGTCATTCGATATGGCAAACAGTTATCCATTATCCACTTTCATAGGTTTAAATAACTCCCCAACTTGCAATAAAAGTATTACCAATGAACCGTTAAACGCTACTGTATTACAAAATAATTCTTTATCTTCAACAATTCCCTTCCCAGACGAAACTTTTGATTTTATATATCAAAGATTCTTTCTTCCACAATTAAATTTAACTTCAAGCTTTAATCCAAATTCTATTTTTATTGAACAATATAACTTAGTTAAACATATGATAAGAGTATTAAATCCTGGTGGTTGGATTGAATTTATGATAATAGATAATTTGGTTTGGTATAATACTGGTCTCTACACATTTCGTTTAACTCAAGCTTATTATTCTTTGACGTGTGATGGTTATGATTCATATAACAAAATTGATGAAAAACACTTGTATAATATGTTAGTTTCTATTCAACAAGTTCAATCCATTTTTATAGAGACTAAACGTACTCCATTAGGAAAGAAAGGTGGAAGAATAGGTGAATTGGTAAGGAAGAAATTTCTTCTTCTTTTTTATTTTTGTCGCTTACGTTGACATATATTAATATTATCATCCCGTTTGTTTTTTTTCTTTTTAGTTGTGTGATGTTTTATTACAACCGATAAAATCTAATAAATCTGTTCTATGTGAATATATGAGAATATCTACGAAAGAATTTGATAAAATGTATAATATAATGTTACAAGAAATAAACGATTACGAAACATACTGTGTTTCTCACAGGTAGATAATATTAATTATTGTTGTTTAAAAGTTTGATCTATATTTTATATTTCGAATTTAATTTTTTATTCTCTTAAAATTGTTTAGAATTTGCGCAAAGAAATCATGAATTACCTCATCAAAGACTTGAGTGGCTTATTTGATTTCTAACTTTAATGTGAGATAAACTGATAAAGTGGGTGGGCACGTGAAAAAAAAGCGAGAAGATGGAAGAGATGGAGAAGATGAGAAGATGGATGGCTGGGCTAATTTAAAAAAAAAATAGATGAAAAGTCGGCAAAGAACTTAAATAAAATTGACGTGGAATAACAGAATTTCTTTTTTTTTCTTTTCGTAAGATGTTAGATCACTTAACAAATTTATTAAAACAAAAACAAAAAAACAAAAAAAAAAAAATTATCTGTAAAAATGTAAAAAAATCCGTGGTTAGAAATATCGACTCTAATTTAACGAACATTTTAATATTTAATACCATGTAATTAGATATAAAAGGATAATGTATAATTTATTAATTCTCTAATAAACTACATAAACAGTAAAATAATGATTGTACGATTTCGTCCCGTATGTTCCGTATGTTGTCTCTTTAAATCTTTTTTTTTTTATTTCATAATATATTTGATTTAGATGAGATTTTTATTAAAAACCGATCACTATAATTTAATGTTTTATAATGCTAAGCCACATATAGGGCTGTTAATAACTTATAAATCAAAGCCATGTATATAAAATAATATTTGAACGAATAAGGCTGTGCCACATTTAATTTTTTTACTCTCATTCTTTTAACCATTATGTGTAAAAATATGATTAATATTCTTACTGAGAGTGTGTGGCATATACACAAAAAATAAATTTCTTTTTTTTTTCGTAAATATCCCAATTATTACTTTTTTTTGAAATTTTTTCGATGATAATTGAAAAAAATTAAAGGCGATATTTATAAAATTTCTTTGAAAATAAAAAAAAAAGAGATATTAAAAAAAATGTGTTTTTGTTGGTATGTTTTAACATTATATCTAATTTAATTAGAATTATATTTATTTTATTTATATTTGTTGTATTTTTCAATTTTTTATGAATTAGTTTCTCGAACCGGGAGTGTACCATTATTTCTTCAATCATCAATTTGGTAAAGTATTTTACAAAAGTTGATGATTTTTCTTTTTATTATAATCTCTCTGATCTTGTATGTTATGTATGTTATATAGTTTGTTGCAATAACTGGGTCAGTAACATTTCTCGCAAAACCCAATGGTATGTTTATTTCTTCTCATTTGATTTGTTAATATATTTTATTTAATCAAGTTTGTTTATGGATGAGTTTAATATAGATATTGCAATTAAAATGCCATATGAATTTAAAATAACTTTTGGAATTTTATTTATAATTATTTCAATCATATTCATATATGGAATTATTGCTAGTTTTGTAGGTACATTAATTTATTTGTTTTTAATTTGACCAAAATTTAAAATAGTTCTTAAATATTTAATTTCTTTTTGTATCGACGCGATTATTAACCTGTGCACGCGTATTTCAAACCTTCACGTCCTAAGATAACACCAAACACACCGAATGGACAGATTGGAATAAGAATATATGAATGGTTTTTAATTGGTGTTTTAATAATATATTTTTTTATAGCAATTACAACTATAATATATATGTTTACTAGTAAACAATTAGCTATAGAAAGATGTAATAATGAGTTCAAAACTGAAACTGAACCACCCAAAAATAATTGTGTTCGAAAAGTAAGTATAATTACTTGGTTAAGAACTATTTTATTGATTTTAATGGTCATAATTGGGGTAAGTTATTAATAATGCATTAATCTTTTCTTTTATTATTATTCAAAAATTAACTTTTATTTATTTATTTTTTCCTAGTTACATACATTTGAAATTACAAGAAGACTAGGCGTAGATTTACGACCACGTCGCAAAAAACCTCAGGGTCGTAATAGACCCCAATCATTTATTAGTACTGCTAATTTTAGTGAGTATTGCATGTGATTGTTCGATTTTTCATCATGTACATATATTGTACAGTACAGTAATTTGCGAATTTAATATAATAAAATTTGTAATGTGGCCAATTAGAGGTGCGCCACTGTATTCGTAATTTCTTATATCTTTAGCAACGGTTGTACTGTATATTACGTGATTATTTATTTATTTATTTATTATTATTTTTTTTTTTTCGTTCATTTATAAAATATATCGAATATAAGTGTTTATCTAGATAGGTTTCGCCAATTTTCAATCTTGATTCGGGCCGAATTTGTTTTGGATAATACCGGCCTGATCATCTCTCGTTTAATAAACGTGACTACACGAATCTACTGATTCTCCAGAAGAATTTAAAAAACCAAAGGCGTATTTATATACTTTTCAATTTAGTAAATTGAAAAATCTTTTAATGTTTTATTATTATTACAAAAAGAAATTATTCATGTATTCATGTAGTAATTTGTTACTTTCACGAACAATATCATTTCATCAAATAACTCTAAATCATGACTGAAATAAATGTTGTCAAATTAGAATTTATTTTTTTAGGTACACGTAAGTTGATGATGGATCATGATTATACCTTATATTTGACCATATACTTAAGTACGCGTGCAAATGATTATTAGATTATGGAGTTTTTCTATAAATATATCTCAAACTTTTTAGCCGAAAAGTTCATTCTTCTTGATAAAAACTTCTTTATTATCTCCTCTTATATTTCTATATCCTACAACCATTATATTTTTAAAACAGTATGATACAGACATAAGTAATGTGTATATAAATTACTAATGTTGCAATTACTGGTGGGTAATCTTTAGAATACTGGCGCTTACAGGACCACCCATCTATTTGGCTACTAACAGCTAATTCCGAACTAAATCTCCCCAAGCGGTTGAAAGCAATCAAAGAACCGGTTATTTTAAATCCAAACTATTTTCAATAAACCTGAAAACTCTTCTAAAAAAGTGAAAGTTAAATATTAGGTTCCTTTGTGATTGTCTAGAAATTACTCTAAGAAAGAATATATTGTGTAGTAAATGGTACGAGAGTTGAGGCTCCTATATAAAATAAATTTTACCGCAATTAGAATTTTGATCTTAGTTAAATGATTTAATTTTTCGCAAATGATATATGAGTTATGTTCGCCGCATAATATATGTTTTAATCTATATATTTACATAAATTATAAATATTAAATCTATCTCTTGCATTAAATTTATAAAATTTTATTTTTATATAAGAAAAAAATTAATTTTGAATATGTCTCAAACTATCAATATAATTGAACTTTTTTTGTTAATTATTACTATACGGGAACCGTCAGAGCAAAAATCTTATATGAAAAAGACTAAATTATTATGCAATGCAAAACCGGTATTGACTCAATTATCGAGCGAACAGAATATCAGATCGCTTGCGTTAGAACTATAAAATATTTAATTAAAATGGAAGATAGAATTAAAGATAATTCTTTGAATTCATCTTTTTTTTCATCAACATAATCTACTTGAAGATATTTAAGATTAGGAAACCATAAACCTTTCTCATCATTTTTTTCTTCATCAAATAAATCTTCCTTATGTTTCTTATTAAGAAAAAATATACTTCTACTAGATGTACACTTATTAAACCTTAATTCGTAAATATTTTAGGTAAGTAAGAATAAAGCTATTACAATCAATCCTAAATTTCATATATACCTTCTGGCAAATAAAATGACTCAAAATGAACTAAATTATGTTGAGAATTAATTAAAGAAGTAAGAGAACTAATTTCATATATGCTTCCAATGATTAATTTTTGAAGATTATGGCAAATTTGTGAAAGGATAGAGAATATTTGATTTTGACTTCTTTTGAAGTGAATATGAGTTCAGTTAAGTTGACAAAAAACATTTTCGGGAATTTTTAATTCTTTAGTTAATAAGCTTAAAATGTAATTATGACCATTGATGAGCATAATAATCTAGATATTTATGTTTTTCATTAATGAGGAATAAACAGGGATTTTTATTATTAACCTTATAAGACAAATTTTGTATCATATGAAAATGTTTCTAACTTTGATGTATTCCTAAAAAAGTATCTCATTATACTTTTGACTGTAAGAGGTGATGATTCTTTGGACATATTATTCCATTGATTCCAATCTTCAATTGCAAAATTTAATTCGCGCAAGCCAATACACTTAAAAGTTCCAAATAATTAAATGTAATACTTTCATCTTTCTACTTTAATAATTCCGTTTTTAACAAATTCTTTGTCACGTAACATTGATTGTTTGATTTGGAATTATTATTACAAGTGTATAAGAAATGAAATGGTTTTCTCCATAATAAATCTACCGTTTCTTTACAAAAATCTCGAGAAAAACTAATAAGCAAGAATGAAGAGATTTTTTATCATTCTTTAAATGAAGAACAATCGGACGAATTAATTCTGGTGAAAGGCAGCATTATTACAACCGATAATGAAAGAATAACGGATAAAAGCGCCCCTTGCGAGACAACTGCATTATATGATATTTCATCATTTTATAGGGTTACACAAAGATTCATAATCTGTGTCGTATCAATACACTTTCCTTACACTCTTGTACACAATAAGATTTGACAAAAAAAAAATGTATATATTTTTTCTTCGTGATTTGCTGGTAATTTTATAGACAAGAAGAGAATGACCCAAATCACTATTAGAAACAAAGGAACCATTGTGAAAGAAATACAGCCGCTATTTGATTTTAGAATTAAAATGTCACACTAAAGATTAATCAAACCAATCTAATTATAATAACGTATGACCAAGATTCTAAATCTTTTCATCAGGATATATATTTTTTTTTAAATCCTCCGCACGCACGCTTTTAAAACATAAATTAACCAATAAAATTGATTATACTGTAGTTTTTGAAATGGAAACTTGCTAACCTAAAATCAGAAAAAATTTAATAACTTTTCTTTACAAAAATAGTTTCAAAATAAAAAACAAAGCTTACAAGTTACAAGGAGTCCGTGTTTCGAGAACTGGATTCTTACAAATTAAAAAAAAAATAAAAAAAAAAAATTATATATAAAGTTTAAATGAAACCTTGCCTGAGATTTCGGGGCTTCGAAATTAGTGCAGGATTCCTACAAATAGAAAATAACTTAAGAATAATTCAAAAAAAAAAAAATACTCCGCCCTACCGAGCGTCCAATCGGCCGTCTAAAAAAAAGTAAAAATTGAAACGTTAGCTATGATTAAAACCAAATTCGTTCTCTTAATCGACTAATTCATCAGGAGCAAAGCCCCTAAGGTACGACTGGAGATTATCTTTCATGGCGTACCATAAGAGATAGTCTTTCTCTCTTAACACAAAGTCGCATCTATACGTTTCGTTAAAAAAATAATCATATAATAATTATTAATTACGATAAAAAAACGTTTCAATAAAAATTAACAGAAATTTCAACATGCCCTAAATTTTCAAGTATGCGTTCAATTGAAACTATTGTTAAAGAAAAATGTTCGTAGTGACAAAATACCAAAAATCTGAAGAAAATTCGTCTAAAAAGCAAAAAATCGAAACGTTTCGTTAAAGAATAATTTTTTTTTAAAAAAAATAAAAAATAAAATCCCACCAAAATCCTGTGAATTATACACCAAAGTCCCGAAATGCTAGGATCTAAAAAAGAATGAAAAATACGAAACATTAGTATATATTTCATTAAAATAAATATTGAAGAAAATCTACTGAAATGTCACGTCCAGGGAGACCGAAAGAACACCTAAATAAAGGAAAAATCGAAACGTTAGAACGTTTAGTTAAAGAATTTTCGATGGAGAGCGGAGAAGGAAAGGAAGAGGAAAATAGAAAGAACGAAGGAAAGGGAAAAGGAAAAACGAAGGAAAGGAAAATGGAAGGACGAGGAAATGAAAAGGAAATGATAAAAAAGATAAAAAAGATCCGCGGTTCATCAGCAAATATTAATCACGTGATACGCGTGATTCTTGATTTAATATAAATAGGTTCAGCCACCGATACAATTTCAATTTTATATATCTATAACAAAATACAATTGCAATTTATTGCTTAAGTTGTTTTATTAAACAATTTCAACTATTACAAAATAAAGGTTAGTATTACAAAGTGTAAGATTTTTGCTGAGTATTTTTACTCTCTAAACATGTTGACATTATTTTTAATGAATTTATTTACTTGGATATTCTAGAGTGGTGTCAGAAGATTATATTATCACCCCATGACAGGTATTTATTTATTTATTTGCATATCTTATATGATCTTATGTGGCTCATTTTAATTTTAAAAAAACGTTCTCTATTATCATATTGTTTTAAAAATTGATAGAATATAATAAGGTGAGATGAGATATATTTTTTGTAAACATTCTATAAATCATATAATAACAATAATATAGTAATATAGTAATAATTTAGTAATAATGAATATAGGAGCTGAAAGCAGAAAAAGAAGGATAGATGAAAATAAAGTTGATGAGCAATAAATAAAGTTAACGAGCAACACTATATGAAATCTGTGAGACTATGACAACAGGTTTGTACTGTTTATTAGCAAGCTAATTTTATCATGGGCTTATACTTTAATTAATATGCAATTTCTTCTTAGTATTGATTGTAGGCGAGAATTTACTATTGTTATAGACATTCAGGTGTTGAAGATAAAAGTGAAATTTCAATCCCATCTGGAAGATAAAGGTGGGAAATGAATATTACCACGACATGATCGGGAGAAGTCGTGTAGACTTCTGGAAGAGAACTGCTAGGAGGATACATTTGGATTTAAATTTTCGATGCACCGCTTGGCAATGCGAGCAGAATCATACAATCATTATTAAGGGAAATTTCTTTTATAAACTATTATTGGAAAACAGTTTGAGAGTCAAAACCCACTTCCTTTTGATTTCTTCACCTTCTTCTCAGAAATCATCTCTAAACTTTTATTTTGAATGAAGAAGAACGTGGTGAATCTTCAGAAATACAAAATTGGGATAATGTTGAGCCCGATTCGATAATTAACCTTCCAAGTGATGGTTTCAGAGAAAACAAAATGAGGCATGTCTATTTATAGCGAATAAAATAATTAAGTTATATGAATGAAAGTTTTAATGCAAAGGTAATTTACTAAAAATGTGAGTTTTAACCCGAAATATCATTTTTTATATTTCTTGCTAAAAATTAACATGATTTCCTTAATAATTTCAAGGAATCAGTAAGTGATCGTTAAAGCTGGGGATCGTGCGTACATCGGTATATTTCTGGTTAACCCATTTTGGTTCACTGATGGATGCCATGACAGCCACGTCGACGAAACCGTAGACTTAACCATGGTTTCATGGGTGAATGTAAAAGAGTGGTGAGAGTCAGTATAATGATAAAAAAGAAAATCAAAATTTGAGAATATCAAACAGATTATGAATTCTCTTTACTTTTATGTATTTGCTTAATATCCTTCTGTATTTCCAAATATCTAATTAAATAAAATATTTTACTACTCTAGCCTTAGTTTTTAAATACACTTCTATATTATACCCGAAATAAACATATATTTATTATCATGAGAGTAATACTATAGCAATACTGTTTATTAGTTTACAATTATTTCACATAATTAAGTAAATCCGTAACGAATTTATATAATTTGTGAGAATATATAAAAAAATGAGCGATAATTCAATTAATCCCGAAATTGAATGGAAGTTGGAGCTATACAATTGTGATGGTGAGAAAAAATTCTTGAAAGAAAGAAAGAATTTATAAAAGAAACTTTCGTAAAATATAGAGTTAGTATTGATAAAATTTATTCTGGATTATATCATGCGACATTTATTTATTAGTAAGTAAAGAATTTAATCTTTATGAAAGAATTATTATATTAATCAATTTTTTTTAGGCTTACCTATCTGGGAGTTGCTGTCCTGTAGCTGGTTTGGGTCAGGGCCACGTTACCTCTGGTAAGAATGGCTAGCCGGTCTAATCGATGGTGACGGTATATACTTCTCTAGTGGGTTTAGCGATTGTTAAAAGCTATTCATCATCTGAAACGGGAGTTGAATTGATATGATGGATTAGTTGAAAAACATGTGATTGATGTTAATGGATCTTTTTCGGAACCTATATTTTATCCTGTAAAGATACATTACACTAAACTTTCTTGATTAAATCTATAGGTTATGGAGATATTAGGGAAGAATAGAAACATAATTTATTTCTAATGGCAGAAATACATAATTAATACACCGGTTCACATCAAATGATTTATCATTATATCCATTGGTTCATCCAAGTAAAGTAGAGAAGTCATGGGAATTGATTGTTCAAGCAAAATTACCCTACAATGAATTCAAGAAAAGATAGCGCGTAGGATATAAAATCTAACACAAAGATCACGCAGTTAATCTGATTTGTCTCTGATGGTACAGTTGGTCAATTCATTAAATACTACATTAGTCTTTTTTTTGCATAATTTTTTACTAATAAATTAATCTAAATACTATACTGCGTAGCAGTAATCATCCCGCTCCTGCTTCTAAAATAATTAAACAACGTCCCAACACGTCCCAGAACGTGACCGCGGAAACACAATATCAAGGTGCTCCGTGCGACAGTGAATTTCTCACAAATATGAATACCCTAACTCGCTGTCTAGTCAAAGGTGATACAACCACGAACGCTTTCCTGTCAATATTGTTAAGACCAGCTTGTTGCCTTCAAAAAGGTTATCAAGGCGGAAAGGCACCAGAGTTCGATAATTTTCCTGCATAAAAGCTCAAGCTGAAATTCCCGACGATCATTACGATTCTTTGCACTCCAAGACCAGCATGAACTCTTGCAACAAGGAGTATTGTCCGAGAAACCGCCCAAGAGGAACATTCATGATTCATGTCATAGCCGACCCGTGACAACCGCCACTTTGAGCAGTGAAAAGGAATTGCTCGACTAAATTCAGGCATTGCTTAACAAGTCTGTCCAAGGTACGTAATATATGAAAAATTTAGGTCTGGATTTTGGTGGGTTCCGGGCTGAAATTTTATAGGTTATGAAAAACCGCGACACCGAAAAAAAGATTATACTAACCCTGTCGTTAATTGCAGACTTCAACATTGTCGTTAGCCTGAGACGGACTAAATCATTCAAGCGATCCTTGTGCCTTGGAAAATCTGGCCGTGGTATTCAACTTCATGAGCGATGGTGGGAGATATTCACTTAAGTGCGATCCCTCATTTCAAGAGATATTGCCTTAAATTTACTGTATTCATTGTGACTTCCTCGAAACCATTTAATGAATAGATCTTTCCGAAAGTGTGTGAACTCTATGGGCATTGCGATGACCCGAATCCTAGTATAGACGTGTACCCTGTTTTTTCATGTGGTAATGCTGACTTGAAAGGCGGAAAGTCTCGAGCAGTGGTTAAGCATTTATTGGCCGAATTGAACGAAATCTACTTATTCTTACTGTTATCTTGCTAGCGGAGTTTCGTTCTATGAGGATAATTTCAAAATCATACCAGAGAAACTTAAGAGTCAGAATGGACAAGGAAATCTTGATTATGTGATAGAGTGCGGAAAGATCTTTGGTGAAGTCAAAAGGGAGGATTTTATGAAGAGATTTGCCCATACATCCGTACAAATGGAATCAAAGCGCAAAGCCAATGATAGACGGTGAACAAGATGTGGATAATGTATTTGGGATCGTTACTGATGCAAAGGAATGGTACTTTGTGGAGTGCACTCTAGATAGAGAGGGGAAGCCGTCGTTTAAACTATCGGAACCTGTGAGTCGTGCTAAAGCTGAGAATGCGAAGTTAAAGCATGCTTTGAAGTCAGATTCACGAATCTAGAGCAGAGAGATGAAGAGAAAACCATTCTTATTGCTAAATCAAACAGGAGCAAATTGTTATTAATCTTTCGGCACAAGGTGATACATCCATACTGAAATCTCCATTTAATTTAGAGCCACAGGTAACTCCGTTCAGGGTTTAAATCATTAGAAGAAAAAGAAGTGATGAATTCATAGATTTAGTATATAAGGAAAGATTAGCAATGAAATTAGACGAGAAAAAGTTTCAAAGTGAGTTGGTACATTCGTAGGAATTACTCTCAAAAAATTCTTTGCTAGTTACAGCTTAATATAGTTTGATATTTTGAAGCATTACCTCTTAGGATTAAAATCTGGCGGTAATATCACTTTTCAAATAATTATGATTTAATTAGTTAATTATACTTACTACAAGATTGATTATTTATAAATATTATAGCTAATTTTATGATAGTGGATTGTGGAGGTGGAGCAGTCGATTTAACGATGAGAAAATTGACAGGCAACAATCAGATTAGTGAAATACAGGAGATTATCGTGGAAGTACTTTTGTAAATAAAGAGTTCTTTTTCAAATAATTTATATCAATAAATACAACAACTTTATTATAATCATAATGGTCAATTTCAATATTTAATAGAAGAATTTTGTAACAAAGTAAAATTACCATTTACAGGAGTTCAATCAGATTTCCAAATATTTGTATAAGAAGGTAGTATTTTTTTTTTTGTTGGAAACGCAAGCAGAAATAAGTGGCGTTGTAAGGTTCTTAGAGAATCCTTATAATTCAAGACTTTGAGTTGAGCCACAAAGCCAGTTGTAGGTAATTTTGAGTTCATCTGGTGTTCAGTCCTTCGAGGAAACCAGTGAGATAATAAAAATATCAAAGGAGAAAGTATCACTTGAGAATATTACTAAATTTTCGTTTGTTTCAGAGTAAACGGGTGGCACGAAAATGGAAGGAACGTAAGAGGAAAAAATTTCAGCCAATGGATCCTCGTTTACAATTTCGGGCACCGTATTTGGGCCTATTGGGGTTAACGAAAGAACCTTTAGCTCCGAGATTGTTAATTTCATTCAAGGCTCTTCTGAAATCAATCAGTTCGACTAAGAAATGTCAGAAGTCAGAAATCATAAGCATTGTCAACGAAGCAGGCAATGAGGCGGACAAGGTATGGCCCCCCGAATGCTTTCATAATTTACAGAAGAGAGAAGAAAGCAGAGCATAACGACGTATTTTCTAAAAGAACGGAAGCTGAGATATCAAAAGTAGTCGGTAAAATGTGGCAAAACGAACCGGAAGATACCAAAGATATGTATTATAGATTAGCGGAGCACGCTAAAGAAAAGCACTTAGAGAAGTATTCCGGGTATATTTTCATAGCAATTAAAAGACTGAAAAATTGCTAATCGGTGAGATTCTTTTCTAGGCCGAGTCTAAAGTACAAGACTCCATTTCTATATCTGAGGAGGATGATGACTCAGATTATGTGCTACCTGAGGAGGAGGAAGATTCAGATTATGTGGCAAGGTAACATATAATAATTCTTTTTCTTTGATTTTTTCTTTGATTTTTTTCTCTTAGGCTCTTCTATTCATATTACAAGTGATGATGAGGATCAGAATCCTTCACCATTGCTGACATCTTCACAGTTCAAGTGTTTTGGTAAATCCTATGCAAAATGAATAAGACTCATAAATGGATTCTATCATCCGGAACATGTGTCGAGGAAATTATCTTTGAGCATTGCAATATATTATCAGCTGAATCACTCATACATTCGTGGATCATTGATTTGAATGATCGGGAGGCAGAGGCACAATTTACAGTTGAAGAATGGAAAGAAATACGCTGTGAAATAAGAAAGCTGCCAGAGTTTGACGAATCCTTTGTTGATTCAATGATGCGATTTGCAGATGTGAGTTAAAGATGTAATCATTTTTAATTTGTCTAAATTTATTTCGTTTTTCAAATCCATATTCGTTTTGATACCAAAAAAAGATTGATTCAAGTGTAGCGGAAGTGTTAGTTACACGTATACACGTAGAGACATAAGAACGACAGATATTTAATATTTTATTAAAAACCATAATAGAGACAGCAGTTGGGAAAAAGCGATGCTAGTAAAGATATATTCATAACATTATTATGGAGTAGAGTTTATGTCCCATCATATGAATGTTACTGATTAATATCAACTACTTCTAGAATCGATCCATTCCATTTTATAGAAATCGTGTGTTTAGCGAGAAACAATAACATGAACTCGACTACAAGGATAAAGTAAAGAATCAGTTAAAAAATAATAACAGAAAATACGGCTCAAAGAATATAAATATATATATTATAAGATACTTACTACATGTACGAAAATGATTAATGATAGAGGACATACCCTATAGTTTTGCCGATGCAGAATTACAATGGATCAGATACGATCTACATGAAAACTTGTTAGTTTTAAGAGTATATAATTTTGGGGAATGATTAAAAATAATTAATATTTTTTATTATTGAAAACTCGAGAGGGCGAAAGTTGAATATAGTAATGAACGATATATTTTTTGTTAAAAAAATATTATTACTCGTTTCGTTGAACCAAAGAAAATCTCTGGTATATTTTCATCGTATTCTATAATATATGATGATAACTAGAGTAAATATTTTTTTATCCATATCCCGTATATGCAAAATAACATCTCTGCGTAGACTTTGTCTATAGAACAACCTCCGGTAAGAAACCTTTGTCAATATACTAATTATCATCAAAATATCGAAAATATCGCTTGTAACGATAAAACATATAGATTGTATACCTTAGTAAACATCTGATAATATTTTTTACAGACTCTAACAAAAAAAAAAAATTCTAACAGGAATATACTTCACTCATCATCTTGACCGCAGATATCTGGCTGAAGGATTCATCCAGATCGCACAACTTGAAGTTCTACCTTCTCTTGTGGAAAATTCAACACACTACAACAACATTCTCTTCACTATGAAACAAGTTCGTCAGAACTCTCCACCATAATATGATAACCACCGTGCAACAACACCCGAACTGATTTATTGCAATTAAAAGTGCATCTGGAAACAAGAATATAATACATCAGCAACTAATTTACTAGCTAATCTGTATGAACGAGAATATATTACGAGAGTATAGAGATTATATGCAAACGCATCTAATGAAATGAGGATACAACAAAAAATTAGAATGTGGAATTGGGAGCCATTTTAGAAAAAATCAATGAAATGATATTAAAGGATATTTCGAATAAAATTTGGAAAGGAAGAAATATTCAGAACAAAAGGAATAGATCTATAAGATTTACCGACCTGGAAACTCCTGCAATCGACTTGTACTACCCGAGGTGGTATGCCTCTAAAATTACTTAAAAAAATCAATAAGCATAGTAATTTATCAGACGCGAGAAAAAATGATTAATACGGTTTTTATGGTTTTATTATTACTCGTTATAGTATAGGTTGCGATTCTTAAATGTTTTAAGTATCTATATCATTTGCTGTACCACTCAGGAGTCTATCAATAGTCTATCTTATAAGCCATGGTGTATATTTATGATAGAAAGAGTCAGTTTAATAATATCAATGCTATAAGAAAATAAAAACATTACATTTAACCCACAAATTATTTGTCACAAATAATTAATTCATACATATTTTCTGGAACAAAAAGAAACATTTCAAGGACCAACCGTTAGATAACATCAGGTGGTCTAAAGTTCTTGAAGACACATTTTTAAAATTCAGTTGGTCAGACAGGGCCAAGGAACATACATACGTCAATAGGTCGCAATATAATCCAGAAGACGTCGAAAGCGTTCTAATTTCATTTTTAGAAAACAATTCTTCAACCCAACGGTGTTAGGGGCGATAATTCAACAGAAATCGAAATGACCAAGTGCTTCGTGTAGTCATATTACACAAAATCCCGGCTTATAATAACCTATTATCCTGCTTCACATAAGATATTGGGATAAGGACCTCTATTGATATTATAAAATAAGTAAAAGGGTTATCTTATTATAAAGGAAAAGTATTGGAAGAAGTACATATAATTTTCCGACAGTTGACGGAAGAAACAAAAGAAATGTATTATTCCTTATTGTGCTTATTATCATAGATGATGCAAGCAAATGTGAGTAGTTTGTATATATATATATATATTTTGTGTTTGCTTCACTTCCGAGACCTTCCTTTCCTCGTCCCTTTCACCTATTGGTTATGGTCGTTGTGGTTTTTTTTTTGTTTATTTATTTACGTAATTATAGAGTACAAAAAAAGTAAATGGAACTGAACCAACTAGGTCCAATAATGATGTTAGTAAACTTACAGTCTGGTAAGTTTGTTATTTGAATTTATAAATTACATTTAAGCAATCATATTCAATCTGTTTCATGGTTTAAGGCCAGACATAGCTTTCACTTATTATAAAGATACCGATAACTTGGACCGGGGATCGTAGAGAAGCTACCGAATATCTTATACTCATGATGGCAAAATAGTAGCAGTTAACATGAATGGAGCATCAAGTCTATTGAATTGGCCTCACATTCAATCCAGTTTATGATCAAGTTTCTGATACTTTGAGGATCAATTTTATTTATCCTACTATGTACCCCTTTCGTGAAATATAAGAAAACTGAGATAGAGAACATTGAAGTTGGAATAGATGATATGGAAAAGATTGTCTGTTTGTCATTTTCTAATGCTAGTAATAGTATAGTAAAAGAACTATCAGATGAAAAAAAGAGAAAGTCTTACAAAATGGTCTCGCTCGCGTGTTAGGAAATAATGACTGAAGTGGACATCCAAATAATGTGTCTTATAAATTCTATGGGTCAAACTTAACTTTATTTTGCGTAAACTTCATGCTATTTTGTAAATTTATGTGAGGTTAAATCATTTTATTTTACTATAGTAGAGTTAGATCTTAGAATTGCAGTTTGTTAAAATAAAACATACCAAGTGTTTTTGTTATATTAATTATGAAACTTAACTTTTTTCTTATTGTAATAACCCGGGTCATTATCTGCACTATGAAATTTGGGCCTGATTACATAACATAAGACCACAACAAAATTTGTAAATTTATTTCTATCACTTGGTGAAATGTTGCAACTAATCCACGGCTCAACCCCCCTTTTTTACTTTTTCTGTGCAATTATTTATAATGAAATACCTTCATATTAAAGACCTCCTGTGATATACTGTATATACTTTTCTCGGATCCCTTGCTTTGTTTTTTCAAGCTCAATCAGAAAAAAAGAAGAATAAAGTTATCAACCCAAGGCATACTTTTTCGATCATATTTTAATGCCTGATAAATTCTGTTATCTCACTTACCTGGGTCCATGCTGCCATTATATAACGAACTGAACATGAAAGAATCAGTAACACGTGATTTGTTTGTGAAACAGACTCTTCACGTGACTTTTAACGAGAATAATACTTGATTATTTACATAGAAAAATGTATGAATTTAACCATCATAACTGGATATTGTTATTGGGAAATAATAAACTTATGTCCATGAGAATATTTTGTAAATTAATTATTACTACATAAAAAATTATGGTTTCTGTTTCTGTTGTTGTTTGTAGTTTTGCTACATCATTAAAAGTATCTTTGTCAGTTTTTTTATTGCTCTGGGACAAATTCAAGAAATATTAAAATTCTAATTCCTCTAACTCCTTTATTTACAAGTCATTTGGTAAGAATTTTATATGAAACAAATCTTTCGTTGGATTATCCATGTTGCTTTAATTTTGACGAATTAAATGGTAAAATTTGAGAGATGAAATCTTGATGGCCCAGATGTTTGTTAGCATGTGATTATATACAACAATGATTTTTGGACTAGGGATGAAAGGAAATGGGAGAAAGAGGAACGAAACGAAAGGGGAGAGGAGAACGAAAGGGTAATGGGAAAACGAAAGGGAAGGGGACCCGGAGAGTTTCAGAGTTTCAGTGAGTTTTTTATTTTGATGAATAGCAAAGGAGATAAAATTACCTTTCTTTTTTAACGATCTCCAATTAATATCATCAATTCGATTTATTTATTTTTATTATAACGAATAATGCAAGAAAATTTTAAAATAAATTAGAGAATTTGATACAAATATGCATTGCCTTTTCAAGTTATCATTATAGAAAAATCCGTTGCTTAAAATTTATGTCAAACAATAAAGAAGGCATGCTCAATCCTGTTATTTGATTGCAATAATTGAGCACAATGAAATCACTATCTGCTGATTCTGCTCAAATTGAATGAGACGATTGAGAACGATTTTACTCTATGCTACGTACTCAATATTATACCAATTGAAATAGAGAGAGAGTCTATGGTATTCCGAATTGACATGTGATCTCAAATAATTGAGAAAAATTCGCGAAATATGAGGCATACAGTATATTATAACGGCACGTGCATTCGACATTAACTAGTTTTTTTTGCAAATTGTAAGATATTAAGATACAAGAAAAAAAGAAACACAGTTTTAAAACAGTATTAATATCGTTAGTAATATTTTTTTATATGTTCGTGCAATATTATATAACAATGTAACAACCTTACAAGCAGTAATGCTATCATCAAAAGAAATTATAAATGTGAAACTCAACTAAGCTTCTCAGCTTGAAGTTGTTGGTGAAGAAATGCTGGAAGTATTGTATACTCAATAAGTTTTAACTCTAAGCATGAAAGTTACAGGTTTTTTTTTGGCAAAAAGACAAAAATATAGCATTAGAGAATGAAACTTTATAAACATCCGAAATTATTTTGGATTTAATAAAGTTATTTTTATTATTGTATTATTTCATATTATTAGACTGAGACCTGAGTACAATTCATAAACCAAGCATAAGAAAGAAAAAGTGTTAAATGTTTTCTAGTGTTTACAGGATGTGGCAAATGGGGAATTTCTCTATCGGGTTCTGGATTGATAGCATGATAACAGAATGAGGCGAATAATAAAGGATTCTAGTAGATGTAATTCTTGTGTGAATCTTTAAACTTTTGATAAATCTGATGTCTTTTAAGAAAAATTAGAAGAAACTGGAGAGACAAAGGATCTGGAATTTAAACATGTTATTGGATTAATTTTTCATGATGTGTTAAGGTAAGAACTCATGGAATTAAAAATTAATAATTGCATATCAAAGTAGAAAAGTGCTAAACTACAAATTATAGGATAAAAGGAATAAATTGAAATAAAAGTTCTAATAAGAAATACGATTTATATAATTTATTATACTAGATATAATTTTATATATATATACAGTATAAATTAAACGGTATATCTACAATCAATTTTGGTATTTTTGACTCGTGTCAGAACCTATCCCATTTTGGCCTTTGACCGATCTCAAAGAGTATTAAGAATCTATAATCTTAAATTTTTTCATACAAAACACATTAATTAAATGAAGAAAAAACGTTAAAGTCGTTAAATTACTAATGTTACAATATCTTAATAGCCGTTGCACGCGTCTCTTCAGAACGTAATTACATAACTCTGGCTGGAATTACTCTACTTGAGTATACATTATCGCAAATATGGCTTCGCTTCATGGTGCGGCACAAAGATAGAAGTTTATAAATATGGATAGTTCCGTTTCTTTGGAATGTTTCATTCTAGTTGTGGATTTATTATCGTTATTGCAAGATACCTCCGAGTATTTGGCAGAAAGAAGTCAGAAGATCCTAGCGGAATATTTTTTTTTACCATGTTAATAAAGTACGTATTTAACATTTGTTTCATGCACTATATATATATAATTGGAACTGTGTTATTTTTAAAGAATGAAAATTTTCTTATTTGTTTACCCTGTAAAAAATCTGATCCGTGTTTTATCTTTCCATGTTTTTTCCGTGAATGTATCATTTTCATGGAATTTATAACCTTAAATCATGGAAATTTTCATCTCGCTAACACGGATATCCGTGAATGTATCATTTTCACGGAATTTTTACGGAAGACACGGAGAAATAATGGAAATATTCGGATAAAAATTTTTTATAGGGTTATTCACATCCTCGTCCGGATGAAGGTGTTTACATGTAACTTAAGATATGAAATTTGATATTACCGAAATAATAATTTGTACTTACGTATCATATGGCATCAAATAATAATCCTGTAGTACACACAATCTCAATCTAATAAAATCATACAAATTCATTGTGCGTCGCAAACATTCTATGAAACCAGGGGTTTTACCAAAATAATTAATCTGAAATTAATAAAATTATTTATTGCCGTTATAAATGGTAGTTTATTACAAATAGACTAACCTTAAATAAAATAATATGAATATTATTAATTGTCATTAGGCTAAATGTACTTATGTAGAACAATGAATGAGTCATTAATAAGTTTGAATGAAATGACATTTTTAGTCAGCACGCAAACGAAAAATTCCACTCTCGTGAAATTTTTTGTTATAGGCCAAAAAAATTTAATATTGAATATTCATAAATTAGAAAAGACGAATTCGTTCGAAAAAAAAAAGTAGGCTCGAATAATAAAATTCAATCTAATAGTTTATATAAAAAAATTAGTACGTGAAATTCGTAGTAAAAAAAAAAAAAAAAAAAAATTTTA